AGAAAAGAAGAAAAGAAGAGAAAATAGGAAAGAAGAGAAATTAGAGAGAGAGAGGAAAATAAAAAACACAGAAAAGAAGAGAGAGAGGAAAATAGAAAACAGAAAAGAAGAGAAAGTGTGAGGTTAGAGAGAGAGAGAAAAGAAGAGAAAAATAGAGAGAGAAAACAGAAAAAGAAGAGAAGGTGAGATTAGAGAGAGAGGAGAAAAAAAGAGAGAAAACAGAGAAAAGAGAAAAAGAGAAAGTGAAGAAAGAGAGAAGAAAAGAAGAGGAAAATAGTGAGAAAGAGAAGAAAAAATGAGATTAGAAACACAGAAAAGAGAGAGAGAGAAGAAAACAGAAGAGAAGAGATTAGGAGAGAGAGAAAAATAGAAAAAGAAGAGAAGGTGAGAAGAGAGGAAAAGAAAAGAAGATTGAGAGAGAGAGAAAAATAAAGAAAGAAAAGAAGAAGGTGAGATTAAGAGAGAGAAAAAGAAGAGATTAGAGAGATTAGAGAGAAAAGAGAGAGAAAAATGAGAATAGAGAGAAACACAGAAAAGAAAAGAAGAAAGTGAGATTAGAGAGAGAGGAAAATAGGAAACACAGAAAAAGAAAAAGAAGAGAAGGTGAGAGAGAGAGAGAGAAAAGAGAGAGAAGAAAATAGGAAAAAGAAACAGAAAAGAAGAGAAAGTGAGATTAGAGAGAGAAAAAAGAAAATAGAAAAGAAGAGAAAGAAGAGAGAGAGAAAATGAGATTAGAGAGAGAAAAAAAGAAGAGAAGGTGAGATTAGAGAAAATAGAAACACAGAAAAGAAGAGAAAGATTAGAGAGATAGAGAGAGGAAAATAGGAAACACAGAAGAGAAGAGAGAGAGATTAGGGAAGAGAGAGGAAAATAGGAAACAGAAAAGAAGAGAAAGTGAGATTAGAGAGAGAGAAAAGAGAAACACAGAAGAGAAGAGAAAGTGAGATTAGAGAGAGAGAGAAAAGAAAAGAAGAGAAAACACAGAGAGAAAAAAGAACACAGAAAAGAAGATTGAGATTAGAGAGAGAGGAAAATAGAAACACAGAAAAGAAGAGAAAGTGAGATTAGAGAGAGAGGAAAAGAAGAGAAGGTGACAGAGAAGAAGAGAAAAGAAGAGAAGGTGAGATTAGAGAGAGAGAAAATAGAAACACAGAAAAAGAAGAGAAATAGGAAACAGAACAGAAGAGAAGAAGAGAAATTAGATTAGAGAGAGAGAAAATAGGAAACAGAAAAAAAGAGAAATGAGGTTAGAGAGAGAGAAGAAACACAGAAAAAGAAGAGAAAGATTAGAGAGAGAAAATAGAAACACAGAAAAGAGAGAGAGGAAATTAGAGAGAGAGAAAAAGAAACACAGAAAAGAAGAGTGAGATTAGAGAGAGAGGAAAAATAGAAACACAGAAAAGAAGAGAAAGTGAGAGAGAGAGAGGAAAATAGAAAAAAGAAGAGAAGAGAGAAAGAGAGAGATTAGAGAGAAACACAGAAAAGAAGAGAAAAGGATTAGAGAGAGAGAATTAGAAAGAGAAAAGAGAAGAGAAGTGAATTAGAGAGAGAGAAACACAGAAAGAAAAAGAAGAGAGAAGAGGTAGAAACACAGAAAAGAAGAGATTAGAGAGAGAGAGAGAAGAGATTAAGAAAATAGAGAGAAGAGGAGAGAACACAGAAAAGAAGAGAAAAAGAGAGAAAAGAAGAGAAGGTGAGATTAGAGAGAGAGAAAATAGAAACACAGAAGAGAAGGTGAGATTAGAGAGAGAGGAAAATAGAAACACAGAAAAGAAGAGAAAGTGAGATTAGAGAGAGAGGAAAATAGAAACACAGAAAAGAAGAGAAAGAGATTAGAGAGAGAAATAGAAAAAAAGAAGAGAAAGATTAGAGAAGAGAGAAACAGAAGAGAAGAGAAAAGAGAAACACAGAAAAGAAGAGAAAGATTAGAGAGAGAAAAAAGGAAACACAGAAAAGAAGAGAAAGTGAGATTAGAGAGAGAAAAGAGAAACATGAAAGAACAGAGAAAAAAGAAGAAAAAAGAAGAGTGAGATTAGAGAGAGAGAAAATAGAAACACAGAAAAGAAAGAAAGTGAGATTAGAGAGAGAGAAAAATAGAAACACAGAAAATTGAGATTAGAGAGAGAGGAAAATAGAAACACAGAAAAGAAGAGAAAGTGAGATTAGAGAGAGAGAGAAAAAATAGAAAAAAGAAAAAACACAGAAAAGAAAATAGAAACACAGAAAAAAGAAGAGAAAGAGAGGAGAGGAAGAAGAATAGAAACACAGAAAAGAAGAGAAAGTGAGATTAGAGAGAGAAAATAGAAAACACAGAAAAGAAGAGAAAGAGAGATTAGAGAGAGAGAAAAAAGGAACACAGAGAAAAGAAGAGAAAAGAAGAGGTGAGATTAGAGAGAGAGAAAATAGAAACACAGAAAAGAAGAGAAAGATTAGAGAGAGAGAGAAAATGAGATTAGAGAGAGAGAAAATAGAAAACAGAAAAGAAGAGAAAGTGAGATTAAAGAGAGAAAATAGAAACACAGAAAAAAAGAAGAGAATTAGAGAGAGAGAGAAACACAGAAAAAGAAGAGAGAGAAGAGAAAATGAGATTAAAGAGAGGAAACAGAAAAAGAAAGAAGAGAAAGTGAGATTAGAGAGAGAGAGAACACAAAAAATAGAAGGTGAGAACACAGAAAAGAAAAAGAAAGAAAGATTAGAAAGAGAGATTAGAGAGAGAGGAAAAGAGTGGAACACAGAAAGAAAAAAGTGAAGAGAGAAAAAAATAGAAAAGAAAGAAGAGACAAAAGAAGAGGAGATTAGAGAGAGAGAAAATAGAAACACAGAAAAGAAGAGAAAGTGAGATTAGAGAGAGAAAATAGAAACACAGAAAAGAAGAGAAAGAGATTAGAGAGAGAGAAAATAGAAACACAGAAAAGAAGAGAATGTGAGAGAGAGAGAGAAAATAGAAACAGAAGAAAAGAAGAGAAAGTGAGAGAGAGAGAGAAAATGAGAGAGATTAGAGAGAAAAGAGAGAGAGAAAATAGAAACACAGAAAAGAAGAGAAAGTGAGATTAGAGAGAGGAAATTAGAAAGACAGAAAAGAAGAGAAAATGAGGTTAGAGAGACAGAAAAAAAGAAGAGAGGAAAAAGAAAGATTGAGATTAGAGAGAAAAAGAGAAACACAGAAAAGAAGAGAAATAGATTAGAGAGAGAGAAAAGAAACAGAAAAGAGAAAGTGAGATTAGAGAGAGAGAGAAAATAGAAAACAGAAAAGAAGAGAAAATAGAAACACAGAAAAGAAGAGAAAGTGAGATTAGAGAGAGAGAAAATAGAAACACAGAAAAGAAGAGAAAGTGAGATTAGAGAGAGAGAAAATAGAAACACAGAAAAGAAGAGAAAGTGAGATTAGAGAGAGAGAAAATAGAAACACAGAAAAGAAGAGAAAGTGAGATTAGAGAGAGAGGAAAATAGGAACACAGAAAAGAAGAGAAAGTGAGGTTAGTGAGAGAGAAAATAGAAACACAGAAAAGAAGAGAAAGTGAGATTAGAGAGAGAGGAAAATAGAAACACAGAAAAGAAGAGAAAGTGAGATTAGAGAGAGAGAAAATAGAAACACAGAAAAGAAGAGAAAGTGAGATTAGAGAGAGAGAGAAAAGAAGAATAGAAGAGACAGAAAAACAGAAAGAAGAGAAAGTGAGATTAGAGAGAGAGAGAGAGAAAAGAAGAGAAAAAGGTTAGAGAGAGAGAAAACAGAAACAAAAAAGAAAAGAGAAAAGAAGGTGAGATTAGAGAGAGAGAGAAAATAGAAACACAGAAAAGAAGAGAATGTGAGATTAGAGAGAGAGAAAATAGAAACACAGAAAAGAAGAGAAAGTGAGATTAGAGAGAGAGGAAAATAGGAACACAGAAAAGAAGAGAAAGTGAGGTTAGTGAGAGAGAAAATAGAAACACAGAAAAGAAGAGAAGGTGAGATTAGAGAGAGAGAAAATAGAAACACAGAAGAGAAGGTGAGATTAGAGAGAGAGGAAAATAGAAACACAGAAAAGAAGAGAAAGTGAGATTAGAGAGAAACACAGAAAAGAAGAGAAAGAGGTTAGAGAGAAAAAATAGAAACACAGAAAAGAAGAGAAAGTGAGATTAGAGAGAGAGGAAAATAGGAACACAGAAAAGGAGAGAATGTGAGATTATACTGTGTAACTTTTGCTTTATTTGATATTGTTGCATATTTGATTCATATTTTTGCTTGTTTAATCTTACGCAGTGCAAGTCATTTAAAATATTCCAGACAAGTGATAATTTCTGGATTGTAAATGTCTCTTTAATTTGTTAGTAGGTCAATAAATAAAATGAATATGAACACTATAACTTCATTTGCTGATGTTTTACTGCATGTGGAACGTAGTGGATTTTCTTCACTGCATATGAAATCAAATAATAAATAATCTTCATTATATTGATGAATATTTGTTTTTCATTTGATGTACTTTAATGATGCACTAGCTTCATCTTCTAAGTTTTGCTTCTTAATTAAATATTTGTCCATTTTAATTGAGCACTATGTAATAAAAATAAAAATTGTGCTCAGTATGAGCTACAAGTTGTCACTACTGTGGGCATTATTCATTACGTGCACAATGAGGGATTGTCGTGTCATTCCCAAAATCAGCTTTGGATGATTTCGACATATATTCGTGTTCATTGTCCAGTCTTTGTCAAATCCTGTCATGCAACCTCTTTTCACACACCCCTATCCACTTTATATTATAAATATGTTTATTTATTATAACAATGATATACTTGTAAAATCAATTTAAAGTGTTTTAATTTTGATATGTACACTTATTGTGCTTTAGACTTAGTTCAAAAATAATTTAATTAATGACCTTCAAAAATTTTTGCAGCACACCTATGATTCTCTTGTGGTGTACCTGTATGCTATGGCACACTGGCTAAAAAAAATCACTGATCTAACATTTTTCTTTTTTTTAATTTAAAGAGGTTCTCTTTTTCTCGTATTTTAGTTGAAAGAAGAACTTTCAGAGGCTAATAGTGCTGCTGATTCCCTGAATACCAAAAATTTGCAGGACATTGATTTTTACAAAGAAGAAGCAGAGAAAGCTCAGGCAGAAATTGAAAGTTTGCAACGACAATTGAAAGCCATTGAAAATGAAAAGAACAATAAAGACAGCACGATTAAAGAGCTTCAAGAGTAAGTATCACACCAAATTCACTTTGTCTTTGACCGCTCTGGCGGGGTGGGGGTGAGTAACAAGGGCATATAACATCACTCCCCTACTTCCCTAAAGCTTCAGTGTCAATTTCACAGTCTATATCAAGGCACTTGACACTGCGGTTAAACCCTTGATTGTGGGTGCCAGTATGTATTCAAGCAGGACTACTTTTTCCATATAACCCAGAGGAGGCTGGCTGAGATTTTTTTTTGAATTCATTGCATGTCATTAAAAATAAAACAAACCGGCCACCTTCCACAATACCAAAGAATCATTGATGGCACCATCTAATCTGGCCATCCAGAAACTTGGAACTTGAACACAATTTTATTGAAAAACCTTTATTCAGTTTTACAATGTTGAACATGTGTACAAATATTTTTTTAAATTTTTTTCCATGAAATATCTTTTTTCTTTATATTATAATTTGTTTATAATATAAGGAAATTTAAGGAATTATTTATGTTAAAACTTAACGTCCACTGTGTCATCTGACTTGTTTGCACATTGGCTCAGAAAGATTAGTAGTATTCCTAAATTCATTAGGGTTCTTTTGAATTAGAAGCTAAAGAATGAAATAAGAGGCTATGGTGGTTCCATTTATCAATACAGGTAATCACTGCTTCAATATACACTATGTTGTATCTATGGCTAAGAGCTTAATAAAATGTATAAGATGACTTTTTTAAAACTTTAAGGTTCTCAGTGTCTTTTTATATTTTGGTCGTTTTTCTGAATATTTCTTTTTTCTTTTTAGCCATGTGAAAGAATACAGACAAAAGATGGGAACGTTGAAACGAAACCAACAAACAGAAAAGAAGAAAAATGCGCAGATGCTTGAAGAAGCCAGGAAACGAGAAGTTCTTATGGACGGCGATGCATCACAGCTGAAGGTGAGTAACTTTTTTGATCTTTATCTTTATAAGGCCACAATCACGTCCCTCTACCAACCCTGTCTTGTTCTTTGGCCTGGGTTCTACCCTATTATAGACCCTCATCAGTTTCAAGTTTATCATTATTGTCCTCTGCCAAATGGTTTTTGGTCTGCTTCACTTTTATTTCAAAGTGTGAGTCCATCTCAGAGAAAAATTAGTTATTCTTTCAATGCACAACTTCCTTATATGAACAAGCCATTGTAACCTCACAATGTTACAAGGCCAATAACTTATTAGGGTTTTTGATTGATTCATTCATTATCGGCAGCTTATAAACCCTTTAAAAAAGCCAGAAATATTTTTAGATATAAATTTTTTGAGATAATGTTTTAATGATACAAGTCTTACTAATTACACTATTTACATTATTCAGACTATTGTCCTCATCTTTGTTGCCATATTTATTACAACGTTTCGGCTGTTGTACACTCCAGCCTTCTACAGGTGGTTGGAATGTCAAACTGAACACTTTATTTTGCTCACTGGGGTAGACTGTTCTAGTTCCACGTGCCATGTTTATTCAAGCAGTCACTCATCTAGGTATCAACCAGGCTCAATGTTGCTTAACTTCAGTGACTGTACAGGAACTCATGTTTCAATGTGACTTGACCCTTAGGGTCATATCTGCAGGCTCATCACTCTCCAGGCTGGTTTTGACTTGACTTTAGTTTTCCTTCTAGACGGATAGCCCCAACCCCCACCTCATGGCAAGGCAGCTCAGTCTACCCTGTGAGGGCATTAGTCTGAAGTGAATGAAACATTGTAACTTACATTTCATAATATTAAGGAATTTTTTCTACAGTTTGTCCTTCTATGAAGTTCCTCATATAATTCTTGGTCAGACAACCAATATTTCAGATTTAAGTTATTCAAAAAAAAAAAAAAAAAAAAAAAAAAAAACATGAATTTTAGTTGCATAAAAAAAAATCTGTTTTTGTTTTACTGCAATTTTAAATTTAGGTCTATTAATGAATTTATATACACTTGAAAGAAAAAAAAAAATCTCTTAATTTTCAAGAATTTCACCAAAACCAATATTCTTTGGGAAAAATATTCCTCTATCTACTTTTCTTTGCTGTCATCTCTTCTTTTTAGCTTTTACATTTTGCAAGGATTTGACTCTAGGAAAAAAGGCAGAAATAAGACTGTGTCTAAATACTGGGCAGGCATGGCTATTCAGTCCATTGAAAAAAAATTTAATATAGTGTTTTATTTCTTGCCATCAAACAGCAGAGGCAGCTTTTCCATCACAATGAACTCATTTATAGATCCATAAGTAGTAAAGTAACATGAAAATTGAGGCAGTGTGTTTTATAGTAGGGTGGGGGCATATTTTGTAAAAAATTTTCTGTGGATAAAATTATTGACATTAGTAAAGTAATTGCACCTACAGTAGATACATTGATAAATGTGAACCATTAATAAATTCATGGCTAATAATTTTTTTTTGGTATTATTCATCAAAACATTGATTCCCGTCCTGGGTAAGATGATAAACTATGCCCAACAGCAAGGCCTCTCATCAGAAGGTTTTGGGAGGCGTGGAACCACCTTTTGATTGCTGGTGTTCCCAGGTCCGCCTTGACCCAGGGTGGTAGTGCATGTTGGGTCCTGGCTGTGAATAGTTAACCCCAAAACTGGGGTAAAAACACTATGAAAGTGTAAAAACAGGTTTTAATACCAGAAATACTTTGTAAAAAAAATTATTACCAGCTATATATTTTTGAGGAAAATAATATTACCAGCAATAGTTGTTTGAAAAAAATTATTACAGTAACACATTTTTGAAACAAAACAAAATATCACCAGCAATGAAAATTTTCTTGGCATTAAATAACCCACTGGGGTTGATATGCCATAAAATAAACCAAACCAAAAAACAAAACATTGATTCCCAAAGTGTTAGGCACACTGTAGATAAATAGATATGAATTTAATTGATAGACTATTGATTAAAATTAATTAGGAAAAGTATTAACATTACCCAGGATGGTTTTCTTCTCACATGTTCATTTACACTTCTTTGTTTTTATCATTTTAAACTAGTCTATCATGCGTCAGAGAGATGACCGTGTTGAAGAACTGGAAGAAGCTCTTCGAGAAAGTGTGAAGATCACAGCTGAACGAGAAATGGTCATGGCAGAACAAGAAACAAAGATTCAACAGACAGAAATGAAGGTATTCTTGTCTCATTTGGATATTTTTCTTTCAAATGCAATATTTTTATCAGCAGGCATTTGGGATTTTGATTATTTGACACACACTTGGCAAAGAATTAGGATTCAATAAGCAGGCAATTTATTTCTTGCTTACTGAATAACTTTTCTTTTTTTAAATGAAAGAATTGAAGTAAATTACCTGTGAGAGAATTAGGCTTGAAACCATGACACACAAGAATCCAATTGGTTGGTGTTAAAATGGTCCTTGCCAAACCAGAGAACCTGAAAAAAATTTTATGAAAGCTATTTCATTTTAATCTGAAGATGATAAATTCCTTAAGTTCTTGGAAAAGCTTAAAAATCTGTGTATGACCCAAATAAAGATGTGAAAGAAGAAAAAGAGAATTAGTTTGATGATTAAAGGTAAGTGACAAACATTTTCACATTTTAAAAAAGTGTCATGATTTTTATCTTTTTTTATTTGAGCATGATATTGATTTTGTCTTTGTTTAGGAAAAAAATTAATTCATTTGTTTCAGGTGGAAAAAGTAATAATGGGCTGTGATGATAATTTCATTGTTTTGTTCATTGCTGACATCTTGAATCCTATTGCTTTGCTTTGACAACATTTATTCACTTTTTTTTTTATTAGACATTTTATTACATCACTTAGCATCTTCCAAAGTTTAGCTTCAAGAATATTTTAGAGTATTCTTAAATTTAAAACTTTGAAACCGTAACAATATTTTTTCTTCCACTTGAATTCTGTTTCTAAATCCATGTTGCAAAATAAATTCCTTGCATTTACTTTGATGAAATCTCTCGGGGAAACAAAATGCATTGGAAAAATAAGTTTTCCTTTTTTTCTTTATTCGCACACACAATAAAAAAAATATATATATATATATATATAGTTTTAAGGGTTTGTTATATTTATAGATAAGAGTGCTCAATATCATGGACAGAGTGTTTGTAAATACAACAGTGGTCAGTGAAGTTTCAGATCATATATACTCCCCCCCCCATCATGCTTTAGGGTGATTTATGGTCACAGGTTATATAAAGCTTGTCCCTCTTCTTTCATTTACGTTCAATTGTGTAAGCGCAAAATTCAGGTTACAACTAGGGCCATCCCTTCATAGGATTAAATGTTAAGTATTTTTTTGCTGTGTCTAGGCTTGAAGCACTTTATTTTACTTGAAGTAGGTAGATAGGTTTGCCTTTAGGGATCCCCCCCCCCAAAATATTGTCGTTTTCATTTGAGACTTTATCTGGATAAGAGTTTTAGATTTTGGCAAGTTGTCTGTTGGTGTCATCAACGGTTTTTGTTTTTCTTATATATATGTAAATTATTTGGATTAGTATCTTCACCTTTTTTTTTTTTTTTTTTAGCCAATCAGCTTTTCAGCCTTCATTAGGTGTATTGTCCTGTAATTGGATTTCTCACTCCCCCCCCAATTTCTTCCTCTTTACTAGTCAAAAAATTGATGAAGCATTGAATATATTCAGCAAAACAACAAATATGACTCTTAGTAATTTTTCTATTTATCTATTATTTAATCTGTTAGTTTTAATTTATTGAATCACATGAGATAGACCTTTGGGCACTCAGAAACTGAGTTGACACATCAACATGACTTGGAAATTTATTTAGACTAATATCACTCTTTTGTACTAGTATTTCATTTGGTTTACTCTCTAACAATCGATAATTATAAGATGAGGTGATACAATCATAACTTGGTGATTTTATAAAGACCAATATCCTCATATTAGTGACAACATTACAGTTTCCCATTAGTTCTCAGATGAGACATCCCTATCTCAAATTATTAAGACTATTATCTTCATTGTTATTTTAACACAATCTTTTCGTTGAACACTACAACTAAACCATTTTATTTAAAACGTCGTCCAAGGTAGGTTGTTAAAAAATTAAATAAATAAATAATGAAGATAATGATATATTTATTTTTTTAAATTTTGTTGTCTTTGGAAAGTTTATTCCAAGTGAAATTTGTTCTCTATCAGGTTTACGAATTAACTGCCGAATTAGAGAAGATGACTACCATCCAAAGTGACCATATCGCTAAGGTCGGAACCTTGACACGTCAGTTAGAAGAGAAAGACTCCAAACTTCGACGATTACAATCAGAAAGACACCGACAATTGGAAGAAGTTTATGAAATGAAGTATGTATACAAGGGGAGATAACTTTTACATTAAAAGTATGTATACGTGGGGGACATAACTTAATTTTTTTTAATTTAACGAATATTGTTGATATACTTTTTAACTTTTTTTTTTTTGTCATTATTGTCTGTTTTATTTTTTTTCATCCGGTTACTAATCAAATTTGTTTCCTCTTTAGTATCTGCTGTTGACCAGTTTTGTCTACATACTGCCACCTTTATGCCAGAGCAGATGTCTTTATATAGACAAAACTAACCAAAAACAGTACAGCATATGTCACTTAAAGAAAACTAGAGAATAAACCAGTAAAAGACTATGTAGCCATTTCTCCTTGCAAATTTGAGGATAGTTAAAAAAAAAAAAAAAAAAAAAATTGATTAAATTGTCATTCAATGACACAAACAATTATTTTCTTTTTATCATAATTGCTGCTATATATGCAGTACTAATTAGTGTTTGTTATGTTTTAGTAATAACATTAATGTTAAAAAAAAAAAAAAAAAAAGCACCAAAGTATATGGAGTGATTGCTTTACAACAAAATACTGTTAAATAAAATCTTGATGGTACTAAAAAGAAATAAATCAAAATTTGAGAAACTTGTTGAAACTTCATAAAATGATTAACAAAAAATATTGTGTAATGGAGAAGTGATTCTTAAAACATTTTAAAGAATAAAACTCCATAAACATATTCCTCACTCATGGGAATTTACAAAACTGTGCCATCTGAACAGAATTTGTTGATTAGCTTCCTTGGCATACATTAGGGCAGGTTGATTTTTTTCCTTCTTTTTTAATTTTTTTTTCAGAAAATCATTATTGCTCACAGTGCAAAAGCTGCGATTTGATGTGATAAGCAGTGAAACCAAAAATTAAGAATCATAGCTTTTACCAATATTTGAGCATTTAGTTTTAAATCTCATCTGAAAAAAATGCACAGAAATTCCTAACCTCTGCAGGTTTTTGCTTACAAGTTGACTTCAAAATTTTACTATTTCAAGAATAAAGCCAAATAAAGTTGATAGTTTTTGTATTAGACACATTGAATGGAAAACATTAAAACCAGAATTCTAGTTATGAATCCTCACAAGCAAAATATGCAATTTTTTTATTGTATTCGATAAGTAATTTGAAGTAAATGAAGGTCTTATTTGTTGGCACAATGAATTAGTAATAATGTGCTTATGCCTTGCTTCCTGTTCATCTACAATTTGTGAAGCTTCTGTAGTTAATTCAACTGATCTTTCCACACCTTGCAAATGTGCAGGTGAATTCGGTAACTATGATGTCATTCAATTCATTAGAACCTCTTGTAGCTCATTATTTGGAAAAATTTCTGCAAGTTCACAAAATTCATTTGAATTTTGACCAGAGTGTCACTTCAGAAATGAGGTAATGTCATTATTATTTTTTTATCTCTTTGGTGGCTCACTACTTCTGAAATTTAAAAAAAAAAAAAAAAAAAAATATATATTGGAAAATTTACCAATAGTTTATATTTTTGTGCTGTAATTTGAAGGAAACTTTGAATTTAGTCTTATAAATTGACATAATTTATTAAGTATGAATAAATGTTTACTTATCTCATGGACAATATTTTTTTTATAACCTCTTCCCTCACTTCTTGTTCATCTGATTTTAACCTTGAAACAAGAATATTTCCTGGAATCAAGGCAAAAGCATTGTACGGTAAATTTTTTAATGCAACATTCTGTATTTCGGTTGACTGTTGCTTTATTCATGATGAAGATATACAATTGTTGATTATGGAATTTATTATCCTTTTTAATTTCAAACCAATTAACTATCTTTCAATTATAAATTTTATAAGGCTGTGTTTTAAGGCTTTCATTGATCACAGAAATGAAATTCCAATGTTCCAATTTTGAGCCAAAACTTAATTTTTAAATGAGTTACCTCAAAAAAAAAAAAAAAAAAAAATTGGGGGAAAAAATATTTTGTCATTATTTATCATTTCAAACCCCAATTTTCCAATTGAGTGCAATACCACGGTTCCAAAATCAACCTGCCCTAATATACATACATATTTGAATTCTTATTTATTTCTCAGACATAAAATAAGAGGGTTGGTTTTATATTTGGATCTGCTTATACACGTCTTTATATGGCATGTTAAAATATCTAAAGTTTTGTTCCATTTCCAAGTGTGAATTCTTATATAAACTCTCTATTTGTAAAGGGACATAACTCCTTCAAAGATATCATGGGTTGAAGTTATTTTCCATTCATTTATAAATGATTTGATTTCAGACAAGAAGCCATCCAAGCCGCCATTAGTGAAAAAGATGCAAATATTGCCTTATTAGAGATGACCAGTTCCAAGAAACAACGGAACACAGAAGATATTTCTCGGTTGGAGAAAGAGAAAGAGAAATTAGCTTTACAACTTAAGGAACTTGTAAGTTTATCTTTTTAAAATTAATGTCTGATTTTTATTAATTTGCTGATTAATCAGTAATTAATGTCAGAATTAAATTTGGTGATAACAGCACTATTTATATTCTTGAAGCTTTCTCAATATAACCTTTCTCTTCTTTTTACCATATATTCAGAATGTTTTGCTTAAAGTTCAGATGAAAACTTAGACATTTCAGTGAAATTTTAACCTCATAGTTTATAATTATAGTTTAAATATATGAGAGAAAAAGGTGCCAGTTTAAACTAATGCCAGGAGGATATGGCTCAAACTAGGATTAAATTTCACTTTGTGTCAGTATGTTTGACCCACTTTAATTCTAAATAAAATTCATAAATATTAATTTTTAATAACCATAAAAGGCAACAGCAAAAAAAGAGGTGCCTCCAGCAAATTCCTCATCAGATGACCCTTGGTTCAAGCAGAGGTTTTGTGGGCGTTGGTGTGGTTGTTACTAACCCAAGGCACCCCAGCAGCACTTCACAATGTAACTGTGGGGAAAATAGAAATGGTTTACCTCACAAACGCCCTCGCGTCTGCCTGGCCTGTGGGTTGAGAAAGGAAAGAAAAGATCCAAGATGGCGTCCGTGACTTTTAATATTAACGGTCCTGTGCAGTCACATAAAGTCGCTGTTACACACATGCTAATGAGGTGTGTCTGGGCTCCATAAAAGCAGGTTGCTTGGAGAAATTGGCAGAACGGCATTACACCCGTGTTTGGTGTACACGGCTTTGCGTTGCAGCGTGTCAGACATTTTCAGACGGAAAGAGTTGCGTCCCTTACACTGTTGAAGTCAACTCATTTGCTACAGTAACCATCATTTGTTGGTTCTCTATCTTAATCCTGAAGCTTATTTCTTTTGATATCAACCAGAGATCAGTCAGATATATTAAGGCCAAAGTGGGAATGGTACCTCAGCATCTGACTACAATAGGATCAGCATTATTCCTAAAGTCAAAATATTTCTACTCCCTGGCTTCAACCCTGGTGTACATAAATAATCTTTTCAGTATTAAATATTTAATATAAATATTAAATAAATAATCTTTTCAGTATTAAATATTTAATATAAATATTAAATAAATAATCTTTTCAGTATTAAATATTTAATATAAATATTAAATAAATAATCTTTTCAGTATTAAATATGCAGCTCAAAGAAACTAATAACAAGACAAACACAAATAGAATTAAAGGAATAATTTGTGTAATCGAAACTAAAGAAACTCGGTTGGTAGATGATTTCCAATTTAGCTCTTTGGGAATTAGATCTTGTTTTTGTACAGTGCATTGAGCTCTATAAGCAGAACAGAATAATGTGTGTGTGTGTGTGTGTGTAAAGAAATATGAGTATCCACTTTGAAAATGTTAGATTAAAAATCAATTAATTCTTTAAAAATTGATTTGTTTGTTTTGGTTATGAAACTGAGCAGATGTGGGCTTTCAAAAAATATATCTGAATGAAGAGGTGTGCCTTTCGTAAAAGAGAATAAAATAGAGCCTTGTTGAACTGTGATGCTCTCTCTAGCCGAGGGGTAAAGCACACCAGATCAAAGAGTGGGATCCCATTTTTCCTTTCATTTCGTTGTTGGAATTGTTACCTGATGATCCGGAGCCCTTTAAAAAGGATTTTGGTGAAATAAATTATTGTAATGGTACCTTAAAGTGGTCTGTTATATATATATATATATATATATATATATATATATATGCCCCTGGGGACTAACAGACCATGTTTCTCCGAGAACAACACCAGTCAGTTGTGGCCCAGTGTGCCACCGGCTGTCACGCAGGGCACTATTGCTGTTAGGGTTAGGGCAACCCACTAGTGTAATGCCAATCCAACATCACCCCGGTTCAACACAACATCTCTACCAACTAATGAAATGACCTACCACCGTGACTTTGATAAACTAAACATGCACCGACCATATTCTGTGACCTCGGCCAAGCCAACACAAGAAACAGGTCAACTTATAGCACTATGCTTGTACCTAATCGCTATCCTGATGATTGCCCACTGAAACTGACATTTCACCTAGTTTCAACATATCTGTATAATACATTACCCTCCACCAACCAACATGGGCACCAGCCATATCTGTTAACCTCACACAAAAACACACAGAAGAATTAGGTCAACACTTGGTGCTACCCTTACACTAGACCACAATCCTGACAACCAGCCTTCAACATTTCTGTACAACAAGCCAGCAATAAACATTGTTCAAATCTAATCCTCATTATTCTTTTCTCTTGCTACCAAATGCTTAATATAACAATTGTATTTAAAGTCCATATATGAAGTTAATCTATCTTGGGTTTATATTTAAATAAATGTTAGTTAAGTGAAATAAATTCAAATTGTTATTTAATGATTAAACACTGAATTTTGCCATTTCTATCCTCAAGTATCTTCTGCATTGAAAAGAGGGATTGTCTGTGGTCAGGAAGTAAAGGGCTATTATATGTACAATTTAATTTTTTTTTTTTTTTTTTCAGAGTGAAACACGGATGCGGTTAATACAAAAGAAAAATGACCATTCAAGTGGAAGTCAGAAGTCTTTAGTACATCGGATGAAAGGTGCCACAGATGAACAGGTAGACAATTCCGATGAAGTTCTTGATGAGGGGCTTCAGCGCCGAGATGCAGCCGCTGCTGCTGGGGCTGCTGCCTCCATGTCCCTTGAATCTGCATCCACATCTTAGCATCAGATTTTTTTTTTTTTAAGTTCTTTGTTGCAGCTGTCTGCTTCTGTTGCAATATTTTACACAGTGTTTCTGCCTGTTACGTACTGTCAGTGTCATTGTGTATTGCCATGGTGGACATATGTGAACACATCGCCTCCTGCCTCTCTCTCCCTTTGAATTTTCATTTTTCTCTTTGTTGATACATAAGTACACAAAGCCTAGATGAACACACCCACACAAAAGGTGCCAACTGTAGGACATTGATATTTTTAGGTAACCTGATTTAACCTTTAAAAATCAGGAGGTCAGTTGAATCCGCTACCATGGTTTCAATCTTACAGTCTCCTCAGGTGATTTTTATCAAATGACCTCTTAACGCTTTAAGCATTAAGAGGTCATTTGATAAAAATCACCTGTAAGTTGGGAAACCAAGGTAGCAGATTCAACTGACCTCCTGATTTTTAAAAAAAATTTATTTATTTTAATTTTTTTCACATATGTATTGAGCACTTTTTAATACTACTGTTTCCTGGTCTGATTCAACTGTGACTATTAATCTTATTATATATATGTGTGTGTGTGTGTGTATATATATATATATATATATATATATATATATATATATATATATATATTATTACTTCAATTTTTTTTTTTTTTTTTTTAAGTGGATGCTTGTGTTTGAAATAGACGCACTTTTTTTTTTTTTTTTAAAGGAGGATTAAAAAAAAAAACACAGTGTGTATTATGTGTACCAGCTCACAAACTTAAGAAAATGTGCTCCCCTGGCAGTGTATGAACGTCACAGCCTAGCAAATCTGGACAAGGGAATATATATTCCTTAAAAAAGACAAATAGGATTTTACTGGGATGGGATTCTCTCTGTGGTTGTGCGGTCTGAAACATGCTGGATCATGTTGTAGTTTCTCATACAAAATGGGATGCAGGTTTGAACCTTGATGGAAAGCACAATCGTCTAATGTGCAGACCTGTAGATGTAAAACACACAGTTTTAAAAGAAACGGCATCTATTTCAAATGGAAGTAATAAAAAAAAAAGTCACATCAAAAATAAAACCCATTAATTATTTAGAAATATAACAATTTCCTTACTTATATACATGAATATTATCTATTTAATACACAATAAAGATGAGACTGAAAGTATTTTTTTCTTTCCAGTTATCCATTAACTAGAAATATGTTTTTGAACTTGCTTGCCCATAAACATATATGGTTTTTGCATAGGCGTCTGTCATGTTGGCATTTGTTCATACTTATGTATCGACATAATGGTGCTTCTCCCTTAAATTTTGTCTCTGCCGCGGTTGTTTTTTGTCATCTTTTAGTTCTTTTTATGGTATTTCTCTTTATTTCCAAATTATATTTTTTTGGTTACGCCTTTTATTTCCTGTCTGTGAGTTTGGATTTTCCTTCTTTTTTTTTTTTTTTTTTTTACCTTTTTATTTTAAAAAAAAAAAAAAAAAAATGACTAAATCTCTTTTCCCCCAGCCTATTGTTGATTCCCATTTCTTTACCTGTGATATGATCTTGTTATACAAGGAACATTTTTACTCTAATTAGTCTTAAGGTTAGTTTGTATTCTATGGAAATTCTTCATTAGTGCATCCATCCAAATTCATCTTGGCACACTGGAAGGTTAAAAATGGTTCTATTTCAGAAAGGTATCTGTTTTGTTTTCTTTTAATAATTTCATTATATTCAAGAAAGTGTTTACCAAATTAATTTGTAACAATTTCCAGCAGTTTGGGAAATTTTCTTCCTTTCTATTCAATTTCATTTATTATTAAACATGGCAAATTTAAAAAAAAAAAAAAAAAAAAAGTAATTATGTTTTTATTCAATCTTCTGACTCCCTAAAGACTTTCTGATGATTGAAAGTTTCAAAATAGAACATTATGCTGATTGGGTTCCACCAGACTATTTTGTTTGGCTGTTGGTTCAAGTTTTACAGTCACTGTTCCATACATTCAAAATGGTTGTCTTGAAGCAAGTATAACTGTTTCTTTAGAAATATCTTAAAACTTTGGGGATTATTTTGTTTTTGGTGGAGTGGGAAAGTCCCATTGGAAATTTTTTTTTTTATCTTTAAAAAAAAAAAAAAAAAAATCATTTCTGGTGGGTTAATTTTTGGATTTAAACATTTTTTTTTTTTTACCTCATTTCATATTTCCATCTATACCTCATATTACCTTCTTGAATTATTTTAACCTTATTAAATCTGACTTTTTTCTTATCTCATGTCAATTACATATTCTTCTGATTGGAATTAAATCATTGAAAAAATATTTTTATTCTATAATTTGTTGTGCTGTTAGCAGAGTCTGTTCAAATTGTACCAATTCTAATCTTGACAAATTCTTCATCCTTCATTTCTACTTTTCATGATTAGCCAAATTATTAGGTCACAGGAGTCATGGATTTAGATTACATAATGACTCTTCTTAACCCACCTATTATACATCTGCCCAGTCTTAAATACCACAGGTCATTGCAAAAACAAACATTAAATGTGATGAAAAGAAACTTAAAGAACTCATGGATTTGTTCCCATTTTCTGAGGATGAATTTGCTTTGTAAAATATTCATGTTTTTGCCTAAGGCGCTTGCATGAAGCTGTTAAGTTATGTTAGGCTTCATGAGAAAAATATGGTTGACTTTGTTTGAGCCTAGGCACACCTTTTCTCCATTCCACTCCCATAATCTGTCTGTACATACCAAATGATACAAGTATCTAGTCCTCAAAGTTGTTTGTGAGGAAATATTTTGGTTATTCCATACTTTGATCATTTTAAATGAGGGATTGGCATTGTTTGACTGTCAGTAAATTCTATTAGCCAAGAATAATACAAGCAATGCTACATAGCAAGTTCCTGTGATATAGGATACAAGCTTGGGTTTTTCTCAAAGCCTATTTTGTTCTTAATTTTCACAAATGAAAGCTGCAAAATTTGGAAGTAGGGTAGTAAAAAAAAATTTTTTTTAAATTAATGAGTGACAAACAAATGAATACAAAAAGTACATGGCAAAATGACAAACATATTCATTCTATTTTCACCACTGTCACCATTATTTTGGTGCTGGTATCATTGTAAATGTCATCAGTATTTGACAGATTATTACAATAATGGTCATCCATATTATTATTTGCAAAACCTTCATCTTTGAATATGTATTACATTGTTTTTAACAACAAGACTTCATGAGGATCAAAAAGATATCCATCAAACAAAAAGAAGATAAAATAGTATATATTAAACAAATTCATTTTTACTCATAATATTTACAAATGATATCTATGGAGGAATCTATTGAAAAAAAAAAAAATCTCTTGTTTTTGAAGAAAAACAAGAATTAAAAATTTAATCAAAAACAAACATCATTAAAAAGGAAAGCTGTTTTTAAAAGTGAAATTCAGACAAATCTGCTGGTCAGTTCCCATATGGATCAAGTGTATAAAAGTGAACGTCTTAAAATTGTTCCGATAATGTTCATTGATTTTATTGTTTGCTTATGATAACTATAACTGAACTCTGTGCACTATCACCTGATGATGGTTGGAAAATAATCAGTGAAAACAATACAGAGCTTGTTAAATACATACTCTGACTAATACTTCCAGTGACTAAAAAAGTCTGGCTGGATAAAGGATTCAATCAACTTTTTCTCTCTCACCAACCAATCAGCTTCAGTAATCTGCTAATTAACCAATCATATGTGATATACTATAGCAATCAACTTATCACATAGCATCTTTCAAGAGGCCTCTATTGGCTCTGATAAAAATGACTGCTTGGTGATGGTAACACTTGGCTGAATTCATTTTCTATCTTGAATCAATTGTAAAAACAAATATTAGATTTTGAGAAATCCAGATTATTATGCTATTTTGTGTACTTAGGCATCTATTGTCCAAACAAACTGACTTCCAAATATAACTGATGAGAAAACATTTCTTCATCTTAACAGGCAAATAAATTTAAGCCTGCATTTAATTCATTTATTTGCTTTCTTTAAAAGATAAAAACAAAAGCTACAAACTAAAGATCCTTTTTTTTTTGTGGTGGTGGGGGGGGAGTATTCATATCTAGTGATTGATATTTAAAACCTTAAAGAATAATATGTTGTTTGCAAAAGATACAAAAAATAATTCTTTTGTTTTTAAAATTTTCCTTTCCAAATATATTTATCCAAAATTAAATTGGTCTAATTAAATGCCAAAAATGTTAGTTAACACCTAAATGCCTTCCTTGGAACATCTGTAAGGCATTAACTTTTAAAGACCAAACATCATGTATTAGAAATGAAAGAAATTGCAGCACATAATACATAAGTTTTGAAACCATTATTCAATTAAAAAAAAGAAAACTTTAACCTTATCAAATAAAATCTGAAGTATTTAATTTACATTTTTGATTAGACAAAAACTGGAAGAAAAAAAACAAAAAAAAAACAATTTTTTTAAACTAGTGTCTAGTGTTGGTCGTCATTGTCGCATTTTGACAGTTGTTCTTTCTGTCCTTCTTGTCCTTGTCATAGTTGATGACCTTGTAGGAATTACAAAACAAACCCTTTATTCAATTTTCAGTGGTAGATTGTTCTCATGCATTTGTCCATGTTTGGGGTGTTAACTAGATGCATACAAATTAATTCACTCATGTGATATTGCTTGTCTCTTCCACTGAAGCAAACTAAACTTTTTCTCAATGCCCAACACAAAAATTGAACTGCTGACCATTAGGCAGGTAACTTGATCTGCTTAACCAATATTTACTAAGCCATGTGTTCTGTGACAATTTAAATGGTGAAAACGATTTACCTTCATGAAGTGAATTGTGGAGTAATTGGCCATGGAGAAGTATAGTTGGAAAAATGCTCAACAAATGGAAT